GGAGCGCTCGTGCATTTTGGGGCCATTTGGGTTCATTTGGGTGCAGCCCTGGCTGGGCTCTGGTGCTGCCCAAGGTGGATCCATGGAGGAGATCCTTTAATAAATCCCTGCTTTGTTCTTCAGCTCTGTCCATCGAGGAGATCAGATCCTTTAATAAATCCCTGCTTTGTTCTGTATCTCTGCCCAGCCTGCACAAGGCAGCACAAGTTCCTGCAGGGATGGGAACTGCTGGAAAACCCTTTCCATGAAGGAATTTTCCCAACACCTGACCTAAACCTTCCCTGGCCATTCCCTCTCATCCCAACCCATGTTCCTCCCGTCCCTTGTAGGGACACCACCTCCAGAAGGAGACAATCCCACCCAGATTCATCCCATGGATCTGCTGCATCCCCTGACACATTTCTGAGGATCAATCCCTCTTTCTGATTAAAAAGTGAAGCAGCAAGACAAAAAAAAATCCCCAATGCAGAAACAAGCCCATTTCTGTAATGTGAAGCAAAGCAATTCCATGTCTTGGCCTTGAAATCCTTGGAATGCAACCATTTGGAATGTTCAAAACTGCTCCATCCACCAGCAGGAGCTGCTGACCCTCCTCAGAACAACTTTGTGGACAATCACACCAGCAAATCCACAATAAATCCAAATTCAATCCAAATTAAATCCATAATAAATCCATATTAAATCCATAATAAACCCATATTAAACCCTTATCAAACCCATATCAAATCCATATCAAACCTTGTGTCAAACCAAGGCCTGGCAGCCCCTCCCATGGGATTCCCAACCTCACCATCCATGTTTCTCCCTGAAGTTTCCCCAAATAAAGTGGCACTTTCAGCCCCCCCCAGCCTTTCAGCTCCCTCTTAATTCCCAATTAACAAACCCCTGCTCCAGCTCCAAGATATTCCTCCAAGATAAACACAGCCACACATCTTGGGGAGGAGAACTTCTCATTCCGAGAAAATCTCACGGCAACGTGGCCAAATGACCTAATTATGAACAGATGAGGGGCACAAAAAGATGTTTTATAGGAACGGGCTTCCTGACAGTTCTTTTCCTTCGGCAAACTCGCGTGGATCACTGGAGACGCCGGGAACTGGGAAACAATTCCCTCTCCAGGCTGGCAAGGGAGCAAAGCTGGAAACACAGAGCTCCTTTCATCTCCTGGGTTTGGGCTGCCCAACCACAGGGGAGGAGCCCCACGACAGCTCCTGGGCTCCAACGGCCCTGGAACAGGGATGCAGGATCCTTGGAATGGCACAATCAAGGCCCAGATGGTGCTGGAAGCTGAAACCCAGAGCTGGAGCATGAGTTTTAAAGGTCCCTGAAAAGGGATGGGGCTCCACAAACTCTTTGGATCAAGAAATGCAAGGCTTGGATGCTTCCCTGAAATTCAGAGTTGGAGGGTGAGTTTTAAAGGTCCCTAAAAAGGGATGAGGCTCCACAAACTCTTTGGATCAAGAAATGCAAGGCTTGGATGCTTCCCTGAAATTCAGAGTTGGAGGGTGAGCTCCCAAGGCCCTGGAAAAGGGATGCAGGATCCTTGGAATGGCACAGTCAAGGCCCAGATGCTGCTGGAAGCTGAAACCCAGAGCTGGAGCATGAGTTCCAAAGGTCCCTGAAAAGGGATGAGGCTCCACAAACTCTTTGGATCAAGAAATGCAAGGCTCGGATGCTTCCCTGAAATTCAGAGTTGGAGGGTGAGCTCCCAAGGCCCTGGAAAAGGGAAGAGACTCCATAAATTCCTTGGAATGGCAGACTCAGGGCTTGGATGCTCCTGGAGACATCCTCGAAATTCAAAATTGGAGGGTGAGGTCCAAAGGTCCCTAGAAAGGGATGAAGCTGCACTGGTTCTTTGGATCAAAAATTCAAGGCTCAGATGCCTCCCCAAAATTAAAATTCGGAGGGTGATCTCCCAAGGCCCAGGAAAAGGGATGCAGGATCCTTGGAATGGCACAGTCAAGGCCCAGATGCTGCTGGAAGCTGAAATCCAGAGCTGGAGCATGAGTTCCAAAGGTCCCTGAAAAGGGATGAGGCTCCACAAACTCTTTGGATCAAGAAATGCAAGGCTTGGATGCTTCCCTGAAATTCAGAGTTGGAGGGTGAGCTCCCAAGGCCCTGGAAAAGGGATAAGACTCCACAAGTTCCTTGGAATGGCAGAATCAGGGCTTCGATGCTCCTGGAAGCATCCCAAAAATTCGGGGTTGGAGGGTGAACTCCAAGTGTCCCTAGAAAGGGATGAGACTCCACAGGTTCCTTGGGTCAGGAGATTCAAGGCTTGGATGTATTCCCAAAATTAAAATTCGGAGGGTGATCTCCCAAAGCCCTGGAAAAGGGATGCAGGATCCTTGGAATGGCACAGTCAAGGCCCAGATGCTGCTGAGAGCTGAAATCCAGAGGTTCCAAAGGCCCCTGAAAAAGGGATGAGGCTCCACAGGTTCTTTGGATCAAAAATTCAAGGCTCAGATGCTTCCCCAAAATTAAAATTTGGAGGGTGAGCTCCCAAGGCCCTGGAAAAGGGATAAGACTCCACAAGTTCCTTTGAATGGCAGACTCAGGGCTTGGATGCTCCTGGAAGCATCCCAAAAATTTAGGGTTGGAGGGTGAACTCCAAGTGTCCCTAGAAAGGGATGAGACTCCACAGGTTCCTTGGGTCAGGAGATTCAAGGCTTGGATGTATTCCCAAAATTAAAATTCGGAGGGTGAGCTCCCAAGGCCCAGGAAAAGGGATGCAGGATCCTTGGAATGCCAAAATCAAGACCCAGATGCTGCTGGAAGCTGAAACCCAGAGCTGGAGCATGAGTTTTAAAGGTCCCTAAAAAGGGATGAGGCTCCACAAACTCTTTGGATCAAGAAATTAAGGGCTTGGATGCTTCCCTGAAATTCAGAGTTGGAGGGTGAGCTCCCAAGGCCCTGGAAAAGGGATGCAGGATCCTTGGAATGGCACAATCAAGGCCCAGATGCTGCTGGAAGCTGAAACCCAGAGGTTCCAAAGGTCCCTGAAAGGGGATGAGGCTCCACAGGTTCCTTGGATCAAGAAATTCAAGGCTCAGATGCTTCCCCAAAATTAAAATTTGGAGGGTGAGCTCCCAAGACCCAGAAAAAGGGAAGAGACTCCATAAATTCCTTGGAATGGCAGACTCAGGGCATGGATGCTCCTGGAAACATCCTCAAAATTCAGAGCTGAGATCCAAATGTCCTGAAAAGGGGATAAAGCTCCACAGGTTCTTTGGATCAGGAGATTCAAGGCTCAGATGCAACCCTGAAATTCACAGTGGGAGGGTGAGCTCCCAAGGCCCTGGAAAAGGGATGAGACTCCATAAATTCCTTGGAATGGCAGGTTCAGGGCTTGGATGCTCCTGAAAAGATCCTCAAAATTCAAAGTTGGAGGGTGAACTCCAAATGTCCCTAGAAAGGGATGAGGGTCCACAGGTTCCTTGGATCAGGAGACTCAAGGCTCGGATGCTGCTGGAAGCATCCCAAAAATTCCCAGTTCAATGGAGGATGAGCTCCAAAGGTTGCTTATAAATCAATATTTTAAAAAATCAATGCACTCAGAATTCCCAGGAGCCAGCCTGTGGGAACAGGAGCTCTCTGGGACGGCTCCAGGGAACCGTTTTCAGTGAAAAAACAAACTCCTGGAACAATCCGCGGGAATTTTCCCCTCAGGAATCTCAGAGTGATCCGGGCAAGGGTGGGTTTGGGGATGGCAGCAAATTATCCATTTCTGAGGAATTCCGCCCTCAAACTCCTCCATTTCCATGGAATAGCAAAATTAACTGTGGCCAAAGAAAAATTCTTGGAGAAAACAGCATCAGAACCTGACCAATTCCTGCCCCAAACTCTCCGATTTTTTCAGGGAATACCAAAATTGCTGCGTCCAAAAAAAGTATTCTTGGAGAAGACAGCATCAGAATCCAACCAATTCCTGCCCAAAACTCTCCTATTCCCACAGAATAATTCATTTTCCTTGGAAAAACAGCATCAGAATCCAACCAATTCTTCCCCAAAACACCTCCATGTCCAAGGAATAATGGAATTACGGCATCCAAAGAGGAATTCTTGGAGAAAACAAGGTCAGAATCCAACCAATTCCACCTCAAAATTCTCCCATTTCCATGGAAAAATACAGTTAATGAATCCAAAGAATTCTTGGAGCAAACAGCATCAGAATCCAACCAATTCCTGCCCAAACTTTCCCATTTCCATAGAATAATTAAGTTAACAAATCCAAAGAATTCTTGGAGAAAAATTGTATCAGAATCCAACCAATTCCTGCCCAAATTTCCCCCTTTTCAGTAGAATAATGAAGTTAATGAATCCAAAGGATTCCTGGAGTAAACGGCATCAGACTCCAATCAATTCCTCCCCAAACTCTCCCATTTTCACTTTAAAAAAATGAAATTACAGCATCCAAAGAGGAATTCTTGGAGAAAACTGAATCAGAACCCGGCCAATTCCCGCCCAAACTCTCCCATTTCTGTAGAATAATTCATTTTCCTTGGAGCAAAGAATGTTAGAATCCAACCAATTCCTGCCCAAAACTCCTCCATTTCCATGGAAAAATGGAATTACTGCATCCAAAGAGGAATTCTTGGAGAAAACAAGGTCAGAATCCAACCAATTACTGCCCCAAAACTTTCCTATTTCCATGGAATAATGAAGTTAACAAATCCACAGAATTCTTGGAGAAAATGGAATCGGAGAATCCAACCAATTCCTGCCCAAAACTCCTCCATTCCCATGGAATAACGAAATTCCCACATCCAAAGAGGAATTCTTGGAGTTCAAATCCAACAAGTGAGAAATAGAAACACATAAAAAATTCCGGATTTTGGGACAGCAGGAGAAAATTCCCTTTGCATTTCCGTGCCCCGCATGAAGGAATTCCACAGATTTTCCCCAAATCCGTCCACCCCTGGCTTTTTTCCATCCCGGGATAAAGGACCAGAGCAGATCCATGGAATTCCCCAAAGCAGGAAAATCCCGGATGCACTCACCAGGACCGAGTAGATGTGGAGGCATCGATAGACCGGGGAGAAATCCACCAAATCCTGGGCTCCGGGCACCTGAAACAGGGAGAAAATCCATCAGAAACGTGGGAAACTCACCCAAAATCCAGGGATGAGGAAGCAAAACCACAAAAAAATTAATTATGGGTAAGTGGGGCACTAAAATATCACAGAGAGAAGAGTGAAATCCTATAAAAATCACATTTAAATTAGTTTGTCGCTCCAAAAAATCACATTCAGGTGAACGAAAATATTTAAAAAATCAAATTTAAGTAACTTTGTTGTTCCAAAAAATCACATTTAGGTGAACTAAAATATGAAAAAAAATCAAGTTTAAATAATGTCACTAAAAAATCCCCTCTAGGTGAGTGCAACTTAAAAAATTCGTTTATAAGTCGAAGTGCAAAAAATTTAAATATGGGTAAGTGGAGCACTAAAATATCACAGACAGACGAGTGAAATCCTATAAAAATCACATTTAAATGAGTTTTTTGCTCAAAAAATCACATTTAGGTGAACAAAATTATGAAAAAAAAATCAAATTCAAGTAAGTGTCACTAAAAAATCCCATCTAGTGAGTGGAACTCAAAAATTTCATTTATAAGTAAGTAGAACTACAAAAAATCTAAATATGGGTAAGTGGAATTCTAAAATATGACAGAGACACAACTGAAATCCTAAAAAAATATATATATATAAATGAAAGTCATTCCAAAAAATCACATTTAAGTGAGTGTAGCTCCTGAAAATTCCAGGATAAATAAGGATAACAAAATAAAATGTAAATATGGGTAAGTGAAACACTGAACTATCACATGGAGAGAAGTGAAATCTTCAAAAAAAATCAAATATAAATGAATGTCACTCTGAAAAAAATGTATTTGGGTAAATGAAATTATTAAAAAATCATGTAAATTGTATTTGTTTTATCATAAAGTATGTTAAAAATATAATTTATCAAAATATTTTATCAAGAATTATATACATCAGTGTCACTCCAAAATGCCACTTTTAGGTGAGTGCAGCTCTAAAAAATTCAAATTTAAATAAATCCCACGCTAAAAAAAAAATCACATTTAGGAAAATTAAACTCTAAAAAAATCACACCTAAATCAGTGTAACTCCAAAAAAAAATCACTTTTAGGTGAATGTAGATCTAAAATATTCCAATTTAAATAAATTCCACTCTAAAAAAATTACATTAAGTGATTATAAGTCCTAAAAATTCAAACAGAACTCAATTCCACTCTAAAAAAAGCATATTTAGGTGACTTTAACTCCTAAAAATTCAAATACAACTAAATTCCACTCTAAAAATCACATTTAGGTGATCTCAGCTCTAAAAAAATCTAATATAAATTAATGCCACTCTAAGAAATCAAATTTAAGTGAATGAAACTATAAAAAAAAAAATCACATTTCTATCAGAGTAACTCCAAAAAAAATCACTTTTAGGGGAGTGCAACTCTAAAAAAATGTAAATATTAAATAAGTGTCACCCAAACAAAAAAAAAAAAAACAACCCTTTTAAACTCTAAAAAATTCAAATATAAAGAAATTCCACTCTCAAAAATCACATTTAGGCAAAGGAAACTATAAGAAAAAATAACATATATAAAAGTTTAACTCTAAAAAAATCATTTTTAGGGGAGTGCAACTGTAAAAAATTCAAGTGTAAATAAATTCCACTCTAAAAAAATCACTTTTTGGTGAATATAACTCTAAATAATTAAAATAGAACTAAATTCCACTCTAAAAAATCACTTTTAGGTGAATATAACTGCAAAAATTCAAATAGAACTGAATTCCCCTCTAAAAAATCACTTTTAGGTGAATATAACTCTAAATAACTAAAATAGAACTAAATTCCACTCTAAAAAATCACTTTTAGGTGAATAGAACTGTAAAAAAATTCCAATAGAACTAAATTCCACTCTAAAAAATCACTTTTAGGTAAATATAACTGTAAATAATTAAAATACAACTAAATTCCACTCTAAAAAAAATCACTTTTAGGCGACTATAACTGTAAAAAATCACATTTAAATGAGTTTATCACACCAAAATATCATTTCTAGGTGAGAGGAGCTCCAACACCAGTGGGCCCAGGGCAAAGCCAAGATTCCAGGTATGGAAAAATCCATTGAATTCCTGGGATCTCCCCAAATATTCTCATTTTTCAGGGCTTGGATGCAGGAAAACGTCCTTGAAAGTTGGTTTTGCTCCATTGAAATCCCAGGGAACGCTCGGACTCATTCCAAGCACAGAACCCAACGGATCCTGGCACCGGCCCCGCCACTCCTCAGGCAACAAAAAATGGGAAAAAAAGGCAAAAAAACAGGCAAAAAACCCAGCTCATTCTTTGGGTTTCACGTTCAATTTGCTTGAAAGCCCCATTTGGGTTGGATTTTTCCCGGTTTTTCCCCTCGGGGAGGCACCAGGATGGGAACGAGGGAGGGAATTTGGGATCAGAGGGGGAATTTGCATTTTGTGTCCTTTGGAGATGTTCCCTGGGCACTCCCTGGCCCCGGCTGAAAGCTCCAGCACCCAAAATCCCGGGAAAAGGAGGGTCCTGTTGGGATGAGGGGCAGGGATGAGGCCCCACGGAATGTCGGGGTTTTCCCACCTCGGGAATGTCGTTGGTTTTGGGTTGGCAGGGAGCTGGGATGGGAAAGGGCAGCTCGGGGCAGGGGAGGATTCCCGACCGCAAATGTCCAGCAGGCTCCTGGAGACTCCTCAGCAGGGATGGGGAGGGAAAACTGGGATTGGGAAGAAACTCCTCCATGGGCTGGGAATGGAGCTGGGAAATCCGTCCTGGGGGCTGCAGGGGGTCCTGAGGGAGCTGAAATGGGGGATCCCAGATCCCAGACTGGTTTGGGATGGAAAGGACCTTAAAACCCAATCCAGGATGGGATTCCCATCTCTGCACCCTGAGGATTTTGTGGGATAAACTCCTCCCTGATGTGGAGCTGGAGGGAAAGAATCTCCTGCATGCAAGGAAAAACGGATCTCAGCACTGCCGAGATTCCTGAGGGAGCTGAAATGGGGGATCCCAGGATCCCAGACTGGTTTGGGGTGGGAGGGACCTTAAAGCCCACCTTGAGGTGATCCAGGATGGGATTCCCACCTCTGCACCTCCAGCTTCTGAGGCTGGGAGAGCTGGGAATGTTCCCCTGGAGAAGGGAAATTCCAGGGAATGCTCAGAGTCCCTGAAGGGGCTCCAGGAGAGCTGGAGAGGGACTGGGGACAAGGGACAGAGGGACAGGAGCCAGGGAATGGCTCCCACTGGGAAAGGGGAGCTTGGGCTGGGATCTTGGCAAGGAATTCCTGGCTGGGCTGGAATTCCCAGATTTGCTGGGGCTGCCCCTGGATCCCTGGCAGTGCCCAAGGCCAGGCTGGATCCACCTGGGACAGTGGGAGCTGTCCCTGCTGTGGAATTGATGATTTTTAAGATCCCTTCCATCCCAAGCCATTCCATGATTCCCTGGAATTCTCCCTCTGCCCGGATTAACACATCACACAATGGCCCTGTCTCACATTCCCGAATTCAGGTGTTTATCTCATATTTCAGGACTCAGAGAAACCAAAGAATTCACTGACTTTAGCAGCGAAGAAGTGCCTGCATTTCCTGAGCCAGAGCTGCCCTTCCAGCGCTCCCCACAATCCATAAATCCCTGATTTTTGGGATGTGCCGATGCCACGGGAGCTCGGGCTGCCCCAGGCCAGGACTGATGGTTCCCCTGACACCCCCTCAGCCCAATCTCGGCATTTTGTGCCTCTTGACTTCCAGAACAAAGCATTTATTCATCTTGTCCCAAAACTTCCCACTCCACACAACATCAACCTCCCAATCTCATTCCCAAATCCTGCAGCAGGCACGTTCCCAGGGCTGGGAGCGGGGCAGGGCTCTGGAAACACCCAAAGCCAAGCGGGGTTCAACAATCCCTGCAGCACATTTAACCCCTGGAAGGTGAATTTTCCATGGAAACTGCAGCCCTGGCTGCCACCAGCACAGGGAGGGCGCAGAGTTCAGGGAAGCTTTGCTCTGGGTTGGGATAATTTGGGACAGGAGGGTTAATTTGGGATGCAAGGGTTAATTTGGGATAGGAGCGTTAATTTGGGATGTGAGGGTTAATTTGGGATGTGAGGGTTAATTTGGGATACTTGGGTTAATTTGGGATACGAAGGTAAATTTGGGATACTTGGGTTAATTTGGGATACTTGGGTTAATTTGGGATAGGAGGGTTAATTTGGGATACGAGGGTTAATTTGGGATGCAAGGGTTAATTTGGGATGCAAGGGTTAATTTGGGATTTGAGGGTTAATTTGGGATGTGAGGGTTAATTTGGGATGCAAGAGTTAAATTTGGGATACTAAGGTTAATTGGGATTTGATGGTTAATTTGGGATGCAAGAGTTAAATTTGGGATGTAAGGGTTAATTTGGGATACTAAGGTTAATTTGGGATTTGAGGGTTAATTTGGGATGTGAGGGTTAATTTGGGATGCAAGAGTTAAATTTGGGATGTGAGGGTTAATTTGGGATGTGAGGGCTAATTTGGGATTTGAGGGTTAATTTGGGATACGAGGGTTAATTTGGGATATGAGGGTTAATTTGGGACACTTGGGTTAATTTGGGATACGAAGGTAAATTTGGGATACTTGGGTTAATTTGGGATACTAGAGTTAATTTGGGATGTGAGGGTTAATTTGGGATGCAAGAGTTAATTCGGGATGCAAGAGTTAATTTGGGATAGGAAGGTAAATTTGGGATGTGAGGGTTAATTTGGGATGTGAGGATTAATTTGGGATGTGAGGGTTTGGATCTCGGATCCTGGGCGGGTTTTGGTGGCAAAGCAGGACACCAGCACAGGTTCTGTCCCTCAGTGAGGGTGAAAACCAGGCAGGAACACCAGGAATTCCAGAGGAGCCAAATCCGGGAATTCGGGAGCCATCCCAGAGTCCCACTGATGGGAATCCATGGATGGGCTGGGGAAGAGGGATAGAGGGACACGGGACACAGAACCCACGGAGGCTCCAGGGCAGGGCAGCTCCCTCAGGAACTCTCCAGCCCCTTCCCAGCTCCCTCAGGAACTCTCCAGCCCCTTCCCAACTCCCTCAGGAACTCTCCAGCCCCTTCCCAGCTCCCTCAGGAACTCTCCAGCCCCTTCCCAGCCCCCTCAGGAACTCTCCAGCCCCTTCCCAGCTCGCTCGGGAACTCTCCAGCCCCTTCCCAACTCCCTCAGGAACTCTCCAGCCCCTTCCCAGCTCCCTCAGGAACTCTCCAGCCCCTTCCCAGCTCCCTCGGGAACTCTCCAGCCCCCTCAGCTCCCTCAGGAACTCTCCAGTCCCTTCCCAGCTCCCTCAGGAACTCTCCGGCCCCTTCCCAGCTCCGTTCCCTGCCCTGGCCCTGCTCCAGCCCCTCCAGGTCTCTCTTCCCATGCAGAGCCCAAAATTGGAATGGCTCCATTTCCACCCGAGAGATTTTTTTGGCCAATATATAAATGATTTTCTTTCCAAAAAGGACAAATCTCCAGGATTCCCTCTGGTGACCCAGGGACAGGACCAGGGGATGCTGGAGCTGTTCCAGAGCAGGTCAGGCTGGATTTAGGGAAAGGTTCTTCCCCCAGAGGTGCTGGCACTGCCCAGGGAATGGGCACGGCCCCGAGGCTGCCAGAGCTCCAGGAGCCTTTGGAGAGCGCTCCAGGGATGGCCAGGGTGGGATTTTGGGGGTCTGGGCAGGGACAGGGATGGATGATCCCTGTGGATCCCTTTCCTTTCAGGAGATTCCCTGATTCTACAAGGAAGGAACACAGGGAACTCAAAGGTGATCAGGAACAAACTGCTCACTTTTCTTTCCTCCATGGGGGCTCCTCCTGGGATCTCCTCCACAGGATCCCCTCCATGGGATCTCCTCCATGGGCATTCCTCCATGAGATTTCCCAATGGGATCTCCTCCACAGGATCTCCTCCATGGGATGTCCTCCATGGGATCTCCCCCATGGGATCCCCTCCATGGCATCTCCTCCACAGGATTTCCCCCATGGCATCTCCTCCACGAGATCTCCTCCATGGGATCTCCTCCACAGGATCTCCTCCATGGGATCTCCCCCATGGGATCTCCCCCATTGGATCCCCTCCACAGGATCTCCTCCATGGGATCTCCTCCATGGGATCTCCCCCATTGGATCCCCTCCATGGGATATCCCCCATGGGCATTCCTCCATGAGATTTCCCAATGGGATCTCCTCCAAGGGATCTCTTCCATAGGATCTCCTCCAAGGGATCTCCCCTATTGGATCCCCTCCATGGGATCTCCTCCATGGGATCTCCTCCATGAGATCTCCTCCATGGGATCTCCCCCATTGGATCCCCTCCATGGGATCTCCTCCATGGGCACTCCTCCATGAGATTTCCCAATGGGATCTCCTCCAAGGGATCTCTTCCATAGGATCTCCTCCAAGGGATCTCCCCTATTGGATCCCCTCCATGGGATCTCCTCCATGGGATCTCCTCCATGAGATCTCCTCCATGGGATCTCCCCCATTGGATCCCCTCCATGGGATCTCCTCCATGGGCACTCCTCCATGAGATTTCCCAATGGGATCTCCCCCATGGGATCCCCTCCATGGCATCTCCTCCACAGGATCTCCCCCATGGGATCTCCTCCACAGGATTTCCCCCATGGCATCTCCTCCATGGGCTCCCCTCCAGGACACCTGGCCAGGTGCCCCCGGGGGTCCCGTAGCTGCTGTCCCTCCCTCACTCTGCTTCATCACCAGGGACAGCGGCCACTGCCCCTCCTGGGGCCGGGGCTGGGGTGGGACGGCCCCTCCTGCCCCTCCCCAGCTGCAGGGTCACCTCCTGTGAGGTCACCAAAGTGCCACCCTAACCCAAACCCTAACCCTAACCCTAACCCAGAGACGGGATTCACCTGCCTGAGGCAAAAAATCGGATTATGGAGCAATGTGTCCATGAGGGATGGATGTTCTCCAGTAGCACCAGACTGGGGGTGGGCAGTTCCCAATCCTTGGCCTCTGTGCTGAGCCCAGTAATGGGAATAGAGATAAAAAACACAAAATAACCAAATTTGGAGACACATCCCACATTCTCCAGCCCCCTCTGCACCTTCAGGACTCTCCCATGAGCAAGGAGCAAACCCCTTGAGACACCACAGCCACCCCACACTGCCCAGTGTCCCTGCTCTGGTGTTTACCTCTTCCTCCTCATCCTCATCCTCCACATCCAGGATCCCCGAATCCTGCTCCGACATGGGGCTGGTGTTCTTCACCTCCAGCTCGGAGCTGGCGCTGAATTCCTTCTTGGATTTCTTCCCCCCACTAATCCTGGGCTGCTGGGACACGATGTTGTCCAGGTTCCTCTGCTGCTGTGCCTAGGAGAGAACACAGATCCCACCTGGGATTGAATTTGGTTTTCAGGCACGAGGCGCAGCCCGCCCCGCAAGGGGACAGAGGAGGCCGAAGGCGCCACGCGCTCGGCGGAATTCCGACACGTCGCCTTTTCCCCAACCCAGATATTCCCAGATCCATTTGCAAAGCAGGCCAGGGATTATGCAACAATCCAAACACGCTCCTGCCTGTTTCCAAATCCCAACGCCGTGGGCCCCGTGCTGCCACATTGATCCGTTTACGGCCCAGCTGCAGCGGCGCTCGCCCGCCGGCCATGTGGTGACTGTCACCGGCCGCGCGCGGGGACCTCCTGAACCGCCGGGTTTGTTCCTCCTTTCCAGCCCTGGAAAGGCACAAAACATTCCACATCTGGACCCCAGAGGTCCCTGAAAGCATTTTTGTGGGAGCCCAGGAGGGTTTAATTGCACATTGTTGATGTGCGGAACAAGCTGTAAAAGGTGCTCAAGGGAAACGTGCTGGAAGCAGCGGGATGGAGGGGTGGGAACACGCCGAGTTATTCCAGGGATTTTGGGGTTGTCTGGCAGCTGAGGTCACGCTGTGCCCTCCTGCAAAGATTCCATTGTTTTTCCTTCGATATGGAGCACAATAATCGACAGGAAAAGTGGTTCAGCCCCACTTGTTCAGGAGTTGAGCGAGTTCAAACCGAAGGGCGAGGAATGGGAACAGCACGAACACACAAGGGATCTCCAGGGCCAAATCCCAGCCAAAACCAGGGAAAAAAGGGCCAATCCCATGGATGTGGCGGTGCTGGACACGTGGGTTTGCGTGCTGGTGTAACTGGGAAATAAACACTTGGAAAACCTGGAATTTATACAGATTTAGACACTGATTTAGAGGATTCCTCCCTGTATTATGCTGTGGATTTTTTACGTATCAGGAGAAAGCTGTGTGGGAATCATGGAACCACAGACAGGATCTTCAGGATCCTCTCATTCCATGGGCAAGGACACTTTCCACAAGGCCAGGCAGTTCCTGGACACTCTGGAATTCCAGGATTCTCTGAGGTGGCAAAAGGCATTCCCTATGGGAACATGTCAGCCTGGATTTAGAAGGAAGCAGGAAAACCATTAAACCTATTGGAGATCCAGCTGTCAGCAACACCAAGGGAGAACTAAAACATTGTTAATTACTATTAAAATACACCAATTATTAATTACTTTTGCTACCTGAACTGCAGAGAGCACAAAGTGTGCTTAATCTGTGTGCAAGCCTCCCAGATTATTCCCTTTTCAAAACTTGGAAGTTTTAACATCCCCCCAAAAATAATTCAGGAGCAGCTTTGATTTTTTTGCCAGCCTGGAAGTCCCTCTGGAATCTCCCCTTGGGAAGCAGAACCCCACCAGGGACCGAGCACTGGAGTAACTCCTGCATCTGAGGAATACTGAAATCCAAGCGTGGCATGAAGACCCCATTCCTTGGAAAATCCAGGCATGGACATCCCATTCCTTGGAAAATCCACCTCAAAGTGCTCCTCACCTCAGAGCACGCACAATCAGCTCTGAATTAATTAACGAGCTGGGTAATCTATAAAATTCCGTGTACAAAGCTGCCCCTGGAGGTGGCTGCAGCGGGAACAGGAGCGAATCCTTGGATCGGGATGAGGATCCTTGTGGGATGTGTTATCCCACAGCACAACCTTGACCTCTAGTGGTTGGAAAGCAGGAGTAGCCCTGGAGTTTATTTACTCCGAGTGCTCCTCCCAGCTCGGCCAGGGGACTCCCAACCCCATCCCTTTACAAAAATCTCTTTGGGGATGAATCCCAACAATGGGAATTTTTGCAACAAAGCCCCAGAGGGAAAGGTCTGGGTGGACACTGCCCAGGACAAAGTTCTGCTCCCGACGTCAGGACGCGAGGCCGTTGGGGAAAGGGGCGTTTTTGGCACCGGGATTTTCGGACTTCAGAGGCAGCACTCTATAGAAAGGCCTTGCAACATCCCATAAAGGGAATTAGGACTTCAAAAAGGGGCGGGAGCGCTTGGTCCTTCAGAAGAGAACACAACAAAGGGTCGGGGCTCGGGCCCGCCCGGCGCTGCCATGAGTTTCCCAACCGGGCCCGAGTGAAGTTATAACCCTGAATCCACTGGAAATTCCCCCAAAAGCAAGCCCAGTGCACTCATTAAACCCTCCACTTTGTGTAATCCTTCTCCTGCCGCAGAGGGGAGAATCAAAGAGTGGGAAAAGGCGAAGTTTTGGATGAAGCCGTGAGCTGGACACGGATCGTTAAGCAGGGCGGAGCGGGCCCGGAGCGCACAGGCGGTCATGGGAGAGGGAAATTTGGGATAACGAGCTGGAGGATGCTGCTGCCAGCCCTGGACTCCTCTGCCCCAGCCCTCAGTGTGAAACATGTGGGATTTCAGCCTGGACACGGAACTGGTGTCACCAAGGATCCACAGAAGTGCCCTCCAAGATCACAAACCTTGGTCCCACCTCTGTTTTCCAACGGGGATTGATCTTCCCTGTGTGGGAGCACAGCGGGACGAGGCCAGGTGTCAATATTGATAAGATCCAAACCAAAAGTTGGTAAGACCTCATAAATTCCAGTTATTTAGAAATCAAGGAAATCTGTCCCTCCGGCATCGCTCCAGGACAAGGAGCCCCACATGGTATTTACCCCCTGCCCCCCACAAGCTTTGATTGTGCACTTTTAATACAAATAAAACCGACTTGTCAATAGAAGAGTTTTGACCTGGACTGAAGTCCAAGCACCAGCTGAGAAAAATCACAGAATCCAGGAACAGTTTGGGTTAGAAGTGACCACAAAGCCCATCCCATTCCACCCCTGGAGACACCTTCCAGTGTCCCAGCCTGCTCCAAGCCCCAGTGTCCCACCAGGCCTTGGACACTTCCAGGGATCCAGGGGCAGCCACAGCAAATCTGGGCAACCTGTGCCACAGCCTGCCTACTCTCTGGATGGAAAAAAAGGAAAAAATTGTATGTCTCAACTCCCAAAGATCCTAAAAAGCAGCCAGAGGATGCTCCCAAAGGCACAAAAGGTTTCCAGCCCACCAGGAGCAACTGGGACCTTGAGGAATCTTCACCTTTCAGGATTTTTGTGGGGGGAGTTTTAAATTGGACAAGATTTTCTGCCTGAACAGGCTCACATTCAGTCAGTGGAGGTTTGTTCTTGTCCCCTTCTGGGAACACCGGAGCCAAATCCCAACCTGTGATGGGCACAGCATTCCCACTGCAGCAGGAACAGGAATGGCCAAATCTGGGAACACCGGAGCCAAATCCCAACCTGTGATGGGCACAACATTCCCACTGCAGCAGGAACAGGAGTGGCCCGAGCCCGGAATGAAGGAGAGGTCCTGGAGCCAGGCCCTGCACACGCCAGGAGGAACGGGAATGGCTTTTCCATCTCCACGAGGGCATTCCCAACCCCCCGCTCCCGGCAGGAAACGATCTGGACTGAGGTGACCTAGAAGTGAGAAATATCGAATTTTCTTCGGCTTCGTGGAGTCAGCGAGGTTTGGGTTTCACCGTGAGGGAAAGGCAGGGCTGGGGGGAGGCCCAGAGGAAGCAGCTCCGGAGAAATTCGGGATTCTCCTACGGAACTCCCCCAGCTGATTCCCAGCAGCAGAACAACCCTTCCATGGATTTGCTGCGGCACAGGAAGGATCAAATCCGACCTGCAGAGGAGCACTGGGGGGTTTGGGTGTTCTTCCCCACAAAGGGAACGGGTCCCACATAATTTCCAAGGATGCCCTCGGAAAACCGACAGAAGCAGGGCTGAGGGAGGCCCAAAGCCCTCAGGAGATGACAAATCTAATCCAAAATCCCCTTTCCATGAAAGTGAGGCCACTTTGGGGTTATCCTGTGGAATTGCCTCTGTTATCCAGGACCATCAGTGCTGGCTCGCTCTGCTCCATGGGAACATAAAAAGGCAGGAGAGCCAAGGCCTGGTCACAGCTGATGTTGCTTGTAGGAATTAAACACAAAGTGTTGGGATCGTGGAGGTGAAGTTTCCTCCAAGCACAGCCACTTCCCTCATCCACAGCAGCCTGGGAGAGCAGGAGCACCCCCATCACTCCATCAGGGCAGAATTCCCAGCTCCTGACGGGAAGTCTCTTTCCAGACTGGCTGGGAGGACACAAAGGCACCTTTCCACCTCCAGGGCCAGGCCCGTGTCACTGGCCCATGTCTGTGGACTGAGGTTGTCATCAGGCAGTCCAGAAGACTTTTGGGAGACCTGGGACAGTGGGAGGTGTCCCTTCCCATGGCAGAGGGTGGGATGGGATGGGATTTAAGGGCCCTTCCCACCCAAACCATCCTGGGATTATTTGATGATGTAACTCCTGTCTCCTGCACATCCTTTCAATCAAGAGCTCAACCCTGCAGGTCGAGGCTTTGGGGGTTTTTCTTCAAACCCCAAAATTCCCAGAGAGGTGTGGACTCCTCATCCCTGGCAGTGTCCAAAGCCAGGCTGGACATGGCTTGGAGCAACCTGGGATAGTGGAAGGTGTCCCTGCTCAGGCAGGGGTGGGATGGGATGATTTTTAAGGTCCCTTCCAACCCAAACCATCCTGGGATTCAAAGCCCTCAACAGGATGGAAATCCCTCCACATTCTAGGGTCCATCCCAAAAAACGCCCACAAGCTTGCGAACAACAACCCCACCTTCCTCACCCCTCACAACCAAACGGACCCAGCCCAACCAAGCTGGGGCTGAATTTTTTGTAGTTTAATTTTTCAGAGTCAGGTTTTTCAAAGCAACTCCACTCCTCGAGATGGAGTGACCCCGGCCGCAAACCTGCACCCCAGAACCATGGAGGCATTCCTGCTGCCTTGGGATCATTCCCAACTCCATGGAGTTATTCCCATTGGCATGCAGTCACTCCCAATGCCATGGGATCATTCTCACTGCCATGGAATCATTCCCAACACCATGGGATCATTCCCAACTCCATGGAGTCACTCCCAATGCCATGGAATCATTCCCAATGGCATAGGATCATTCCCAACA